TGCTGAACCAAGAATGACAAATACAATTCCATCATTATAAAAACTTATTGACGTTAGTGCAATAATAAAACAGGAAAATGAACTCACTGTTTTAAATGAGCCTCATATGTGATTGCTGAATAGGTTAGCAAACTGGAACAATTTTATACTCGATGTGAACAACCATAGTAAACACAATAGGAATGCTTACCACTAAGAACTCTATCTCTGATAGCAGCTTCACATTATTTGTGTTGCTGAGATGAATTAGGTGGTTACTTTCTGATATTTGGTCCATTTGCTCTTTTACACTCTGAAGCATTTCTTCATAACTGCTCAGCTTTAGCTCGATTTGGTCAACTTCCTTTAGAGCTTCATCCAGCAATTTCATCAAGATATTCACCTGTTTCTCTGAGGCCATAATTGACTGGATATTTGCCTATTCAAAAAATTGAGCCACAACATTTAGGCATAAGAGACATTTTTATATCTCAAAAGCATTCCATCTTCTTCTGTCTCCATTACTGTCAAATAAACACTTTCTAAAACTCTTGATGAAAGAAATAAAACAACGTAAGCTTGTGTTACTGAACACAGCAGTCCCTCAGTCTATGACACTTCCTTATTTCACGAAGAGAGAATAACAACCCAAAACTTTGCTCAACTTCTTAGAAAGGAAGTATGGATCTGCACAGAAAATAAAACCGAACAGTAATCCCTAATATACCAGAACATTTTTAGTTCCAGAAAAACAGCTTAGGTGATAAGGTCATATTTTCTGTTGCAAGATGAGCTATCTCTATGGTAACAGCCATTTTCAAAATATGAGGAAAATATACAGCTTGGCAATTTGGGGTCATTGACGGTTCCCTCAAGACTGCATCCCCTTAGGATTTCTAAGGGCCCTCTAGAATGCTGAGTTATTTAAAAAGCAAAATACCAAAGAAAATAGTACTGCTACAGTGCCATACAGCCAAATACTGGAATGTTTTTAGACTAAGCCAGTTTCCTAATTACTCTGAGGCATAGGAGTTCACATCTGTGGACATACAACATCTAGTGTCTCTCTCCCTGCACCCCTGCCTTCAAGAAAGGTGTATGAAGACTGCCTCCTTTTTTTTCGTTCCCAACTCCTTTGAAAGTCAGTGACTTTCAAAGGTCTGGAAGACCAGAGGGTCTGGAAGGTAAAGAGAAAAGTTGAAGATCTTTAAAATCTGATCATAGACAGGATGTAGCACTGCTTCAGAGCAGATACACATTTATAAATAAATATGCAGCAGAACATGTTAGTTAACTTTTCAAAAAACACTCCATAGTCAGTATCAATGAAAACAGCTCAGCATGCTAACACACTGTATGTTAGAATAAATATTTACCCCATCTAGTACTTGTAGCTCTCGTGACAACTTCTCTGCAAAGGCTTCAGCATTAGAAATAGCACATTCACACCCTTCCATCATTATTTCAATATCCTGTTCCTCTCTTGCATTTAACTCCTGGTATTCATCCACAGCTTCTTCATCACCTCCTGCTACACTTTGGTTCTCTCCACTTGGAACAGATTCTTAGGTAGAGAAGACAAATAAATCATGTCATCAAGTGAAGAAGGTCACAAACATTTTAACAGTGCTTAAGAATACTCCTCTATCTTTAAGCAAATTAATGCATTAATCCAAACTTTCTTTCATAACAAGCACGTGCTACCTACATACCAAGTCTCAGTCTTCTATGGGCTTCATTAAGATTTCCAGAACTGGTGTTTTCCAAATTATGCAACATAAGCAAAACACAAATAGCCACCTTTTTTTACTGCATGTACAAAAGGACATACTGTCTCATTTTTTTGACCTCTCACACTTATAACCAGTATCAGAATATATTAAAGTATTACACTAGACTTGTTAGCAGAAGACCAGTAGATGTTAAGACTCTCTTTTGGCAGACACAGCATAAAGGAAACACACTATAAAGTTGATTAAGAAATATATTATTGAAGAAATAAAAAAAAAAATCTTGATGCTCGAGATAAGTTTCACAGCAGGAAAATCAGTATTGAAGTAGGTGAAAATTAGATAATAACATTTGAATTAACTATGTTTTCTCATGGCAGTTCTACTTAATTCAATGAGCTATTCAAAGATTAACACACAATTTTATGTTAACATTAATGCAGTCCAAGCAGAAAGTGTTTAGGACATTAGATATGTTTAGGACATATCTCTAGCAACTTGCTAAGCTATCCAAAACACTACTTTAAAAAAAGAAAAGGAAAAAAAAAAAAAGGAAAAAGCATATTATTTAAGAAAAAATGCTTACAAAGCAGAATGAAGGAAAAAGGTGTTACGCACCTTCTGCAACTTTAGGCAGTTCTGAAGAATTAAAAGGTATGGAAAAGCAGAGGAAAGGAAGCAGAGAATGTTAGCTAGACAAGCATGAACAGTGTGTATATTTTTAAGTGGCAGTAAGTTTGAATGTTTTAATATTGCACAAAATTGAAAAGTTAGAGGTTGGTTAAAGGCAAATTTCAGTCAACACCAAAATACAGAAATGCTCTCCTCTAAATTTCTAGTTCATGTTCTTCTGCACAAGCCAGTCTTGTATCTAGTACCAATAGTTCAACCTAACTCGTTAGGCTTTATAAATAAAATCAACTACTACAAGACAAGGTGATTGTAAAAATATTTAATACAGCATGAACAAACAAGGTACAAAATTTTCTTAGCAACTAACCAGTCATGTACACTGCAAAATTTAACACATGCTTCACAGTTTATATACTAGCAATCTCATCTAAAGACTCAATCATATATAGCATGCTACTGAAGTGTTACTTTTTAAAGCATTTCTCTAATTTAGAGAAAATTCAAATTGGAACATGACCAGATTTGTTACACATTTAGACCTACCAGATCTTGCACGCAGATTTTATTTTGTTCAAAAAACAGAACGTCTTTGAAATACAATTAGCATATAAATATTTAGAACTTCATTAACAAAGTATTTTGTGTAGGTTGCCAGTTTCTAACAGGAAATCTGTTCTCTATTCACCTGATTTATCTGAAGACTTAGAAAATATAGAATAAAATTTAATAGGAAAAAAAAAAAAGGATTAGGATTATTCTTTTTTATATACCTGCTTTACGTCAACAACGATTAAACTTTATGCTTAATGTTCAGTCATAGAAATTTACCTTCCAAAAGCTGTGAACTAACATTAATGAAGTCGATTTTCTTTCTAAGATATCTCTGATTGAGTTTCCAGATACATGAAATGAAGGTGTTCTTTTCCACTGTGCTACTTGCAACCCATTTGTATACTTTGTCAAAATGCAAGTCAAATTCAGGATTCTCCTGTAAAACACGAGATACGTTACAGGCTCAACAGTCAAATGAGTTCCCTGAGCAGCAGAGATTGTTTATTCATCTAATTACTGAGATGGCAGGATAAAAATTACTGAGATGACAGATCTCAAGCTGACAGACCAACACTGACACCTGATGCACTTTAATGAAGGTGGTAAAACATTGAAAGTGAAAAACTAGAATTCACACTATGAAGACAGTATTTTCTCAAGCCAGATATGGCAACAGTAACACAAAATACAGAGATCAATAAGAGTTTCAAGAAACCTTTGACAGCACTGACTGCCCTGAAACACTGTCCTCATAATGCCTGGTGTTTGCCTTCTGAAACTAGAAATGGTAGCTGAAATTACAAGATATACAGCGCAATTCCAGGAGACTTAAGGGAATAAGCAAAGGAAAAAATATGAGCACTTTATATAATACATACAATAGTATTTAATACCACTGAACTGAACAGACCATTTTCTATTTTAATGGTAAAAAACTACCATAAAATTATTTTCAACTGTACTTGCTGCCTTATGAGAACACTGCTTTGATGACAATTGAATACAGTACTTCCCTTGCTACAGCCACTTATGAACTCAGTGCAGCCTGTAACTGGCAACAGTCTGTTTTAAAGATGATATTTCAAGCATTTTACAAGGTACTGCCTCCTTCTGATGAAACATGTTACTGCCTCTGACACGCAAATTCTTACGTACAGTTTGTAAAAACACTACTATGTACCGGCTGCACGTGAAACAAAGACGATGGGAAAAGGCATTTCCCGTGTAGTGTAATAAAGGCAGTTCTGTTTCTTTCTCTAGCTTACATGGATAAACATAACTAGCATACAGTTCTAAACGAATAGTATAATTACATAAAATTTGAGCTGTCTGACAACTAGAGCAGGAAAGGTTTGTATCAAAAGAGTTCCATAGGATCACATTTAGAAACCAGAACATGATGCACTTATTCACTTATTTAATTCTGGAGAGTTTGGCATTCAACATTTGTTTTCTAAAAGAAAACATCAAAATTGCTCTTTATAGTAGTATGTACACAACAGCATGTTTCTAAAACAGTTAACCAAATTCTGTTCTGCATTAAAAAGCCCTGAAAGATTGTATAATTTTATGTGGAATATTAACATGAAAGAAGGAATTCTCCAACAGCAAGGAAAATCAAAAAACTAGCCAACAAGTATGTAGATAATTGATGTAAGAAAACATATTTAACCTACATTTGGGGAGAGGGAAATCAAGGAATTTTCACCTTCCTATATTCTGTACTCTCCTTCCAAATCACCAGTTAACAGAACATAAAATGAGACATCACCAGATGAAGAATTTCCACCTCTGCCTGCTTGTACATCTTAGTTTATGACAACGGATGAATTTAAACAATCAAAAATAGGTTAACCTTTTCTACAGAAAAGAACACCATCTCAGGAGTGCATGCCTTCCAACAAATGGCCAATTACATTTAGAGAATAGATAAAAGAGCTCACCTTCAAAAGCTTATATACTATTAATTAAGAATGTTTTAAGTATCCTAGCAAAAAACATTACATGGATCTCCATGTCATAAGAAAGGAAGTAACTTTTTTTTAAGGGGAAACTAAGCTTGGAGTAAAAAAATTATATAAAACTTCAAACAAACTAAAAAGCATTGGTCCTTAGCCCAAGCACTGTACAATCCCTGAGAGACCATTACAATAAACAGAGCAGGTATTCTGAATATTCAAGAATATCTAGACTACTCTTACTCAATTTACCAGGCTTATATTCTTGGAAAGGCTGGAAGAAAATGCAGGCCTAAGCAGCACAGAAATGCATGCTAACTAATGTGTTACCAATCTAAGTTTTAAAACAGTTAGTATCAAGGAAGTTAACACTAAAAAGTTACACATACTTTAACAGCATCTTTGGCATCAACAACAGCAAGATCCCGAAGTGCCCATGCAGTCTGCCTTTTGTAGAAATCTCCTTTGTCAGATTTTTTCACTTTTACCACATTTACTTGCACAGGTCGTTCCGTTGTCACTGTTAAATGACGTAAGAGAGTAATTTCAAAACACACAAATTTAACAACTGTTTCTGCTGTATTTCAACTTCTGAAATTAATTCTCTGTGGTGAAGATTTCATAATATTTAATTAAAGAGGCCCTTTGAAACATTTTAATCCACAAAATTCACATTAGGCATGACATAAAGCATGCTTCAAAGGAACACCAGTCCCACACAAATAATTTAGATTCTTTAATTTCAAATTATAGTGAGACCTGGGAATAAAACTACAGGGTTTTGTTTCATTTTTAATAGAAGCAATAACGGAAGAATAAGCTACAATTGATTTTCTCTGTTAGAAATGGAAAGCACCTGTTTTACACAGGGCACGAATAAATACTGTAAATAAAGCTAATCCAACTGAATAAAAAACAAAGGTGAAGACAAGAAATATTACTCTGTACCTGTGGCACACAAAAAGCAGTTTCTCTTCTTTTTGCCTGCTTTGCATACATTGACAATGCTCAACAAACGTTCATCATTGGGAGTGAAAATATCCCTCTGTAAAGCATGCTTGATTGCAGTCATCTTCTCTCAGCTGAAAGATTTTAAGAAGTTGCAATACATTCAGGAACATTTAACACACAAAAAAAGAGAACCAGTAGTTTACTTACAGCAACTACATATTTTAAAAATTACATTTTACAGGTAATGTAATGAATCATAATCTAGACAAGTATGATAGCTAGGTCAAAGACCAGCCCACTTCAGGAAAAAGTGCAAGTCACAGGGCCACAAAGGTGATCAGAGAGCTGAAAGAATTGGGGCTGTTCAGCCTGGAGAAGAAAAGACTCTTGGGAGACCTTATAGTGGCCTTCCAGTACTTGAAGGGGGCCTACAGGAAATCTGGGAGGTACTTTTTACAAGGACTTGTAGCGACAGGACAAGGGGCAATGGCTTAAAACTTGGAAGAGGGGAGATTTACATTAGATATTAGAAAGAAATTCTTCACTGTGAAGGTGGCGAGACACTGGAACAGGTTGCCCAGAGAAGCTGTGGAAGCCCCATCTCTGGAGGTGTTCAAGGTCAAGTTGGATGGGGCTTTGAACAACCTGGTCTAGTGGGGGTGTCCCTGCCCATGCAGGAGAGTTGGAACTAGATGATCTTTAAGGTCCCTTCCAACCCAAACCATTCTATGAATCTACAAATTTATCAAAACCAGGATGATCCTACTGCCTAATTTAGTGGAGAAAATAAAGCTTTTTAATAGTAAAGTGGAATGTGACTAATTAACAAAAAAGTTGAAATGGGAATCAAGAAAAAAAGACTCCCTCAATAAGCAGTGGAATTTTAGAATGTGTATGAATGCCATGGATCTGGTAAAAACCTGTATGGAGGCAGGTGAACAAGAAAGTCCCACAAAATTTGACAGAAAGGAGAATGTGAAACTAAAGTCACTACAGTGATGACCTTAAATGAAGCACCAAGAACAAAATTCTTCAAATATACCTAAAAACTTCAATTACATTTTCAGGACTCTTTCAAGGTTTTACACTTGGCAGGCCAATTGAAAATAATGTTTCATTTAGAGGAAGAAAAAGTGTCTCTGACTCCTGCTTTGCAGTTAGGTTTCTGTAATGGCTGATATGGCATATGTTATCAGTTCAGCACTCAGATGCCTCAATTTTAAATCTAACACTGTTTGCAAACATTCACTGTGAGTTCCAATCTTCTCTGGCAGTGCCTTCAAGTAAGTATGCAACATGCTCAGAGGAAAGCATCTGTATTTCTAGCACATTCATTTAAGATGAAAGATTTGCAGAGATAAAATAACTCCAACCTTAAATTAACCATGCACCAACCAAGAATAAAATCCCAAGGAAATCACCAAATTCTGAAAGATTTCCAAGATACCTTTCAGTATAGTCACCTGGTTCCCTAGCCATGCATGGCCTAGTTCCCACCGGTTTCTAGAAATCTGGGACAGGCAGGGATGGAACAACACCACCCAATACTCAAGCTTGCAGAGATCAATTGGATAAGAAAAAAACAAAGAAACAAAAAATTAAAGAAAAACCCTACAAAGCTCCAGAAAATTAAGGAATTAGCAATATTCACCTGATTCAGAACTCACACTACAGAGAGGTTTCTAGGTAGACAAAAAGACACTTAAACATCAATTTCAATGATTTGAGTTAAATACAGAAGCTCCAAAATTACTCTGAACTTGCGCCTTAGAATTCTCCAGTGTGCTAAAAACAGTATTAATATGCATCACATGCTACACTGCCTGATGCTGAGACAACACGTGGAGTTAGGTTAGGTTTTTGATTGGGTTGCTTCTCTGACAAACACAGCAAAGACAAGAAGGTTGGCACTTGAAACAGAAAATCTAGTAGTTTGAAAGACTAGTAACCCCAAGGGCTTTGGAAAAACAAGGGCCAGTATATCAAGCTGGAATCAGTACTGTCAAGTGCACAGAGCCCAGGGCATCCAAATAAATGCTGTTTATATAACAGCCCTATGGCAATGTCTAACAATTTTCCTCCCCTTTCATCAAATGCTGGGCACAGCTTCTCTTTCCCAAATTGCATTAGTCTGTCATTCCCGTTACTCTTCAGCAGGTGTGTAAAATGAACACACAAAGTACCAACAACCTGTCGCATTTCAGAAATATCCCCTTTCCTTCCTGATTTGGAATTTTACTTTCTGCTCTGAATCCGATTCAAACTGCTGCGACTCACTAATTCTCCCATTTCAGTGCTAACACCAGCTGCCCAGGTTGAGCAGCACACACCTTTCCCATAAAACAGAATACATTAAACCTGCAAGCAAAGACTTGCTCTGACAAACGGTCCAACTTCTGTTACAAAAACAAGCCCCTTAGTCACAGTCACCAAACCCTCCCCAATGTGACAAAAGACATCACCAAGTTCTTCACACATCATTCCTACTGTCCCAAAGGAACACAGAATTAAGCACAAGGAGCTGAAGATAAAGCTGTTTCCTCAGAAAAATGCTCCAGGAATGCTGACTGAGCCCATGCCAATCTCTAACAAATCCCTTTAAACGCTGCTGCACGGGGGTTGTGTTTGTTTTTTCCCGGCTCTGTTACAGACAGAACCTCGGCTACATGAGAATCAAGATATCCCATCACAGCCAGAGCCTGCCCAGGAAATGCAGGGGCAGGATTCAACCGAGCAACCCGGCAAGGCTACCAGGCGAGCACCGCTGAGCCCCTCTCCGTGCCGCCAGG